AACAATCTCATCAGCAATTAATCCTCCTTTTTTGTTCAGACTAAATATCAACTTTTTCCACTCCAACAAGAATCCACCAGGGGTTAATTCCTCAGGTTGCATTTTCTTGGTGACGACATAAGGCTGATAAATCAGACTTTCTAGTTTTTGTACTTGTGCCCACTGGTTTTCAGTTAGTGAAACATTCTGGTTATCTAGATCTAGGAAAGCTTTTAGTTTAAGTAAGTGTTTGATCATCAAACAGGTGCTACCCCAGCATGTTGCTTGATCATAAAAATAGCCCCTTTTCCAGAACGTCTTCTGAGAATAGCATCAGTTTTTGGTATTCTGGCTGCAATGAGCTTTCCAATGAGAGGAGCTGCATGTCTATCCTTCAAATCATCTCTTATTGCTAGTTGCAGTGAATGTACAGCACAACGCATATGTTGAATTGTAAATAATTCAGCTGCTTCTTCAACAATATTATCTAAAACAATACAGTTCTCCTCTGGCTCTTCTGTTAGTTCTGTTAAGGTTTCTTCCTCATTACATTTTTGTACTTTCTTCAGTTGCTTTATTCATTTTCTCAATTGTGCTCAGCATATTTGAAGCGTTATCAGTTACGATATATAGAACTTGCTCTTTTTTAATTTCAAAATCTTCTAATACATCTTCTACCAACTTTTGAAGCTATTCACTAGTGTGATGTACCTAAGTATCTTTTATTCCTAATGTCTGTGTCACTACCCTAACATTCTTGTCAACAAACCTCACATTAATGGCAAAATAGTTGACGCTGTGACATGTACATGCATCCATTTTAATATAGACAAAGCATCCCTTTAAACTTTTTCTAAGTTCATCTTTCATATTCTTAACCTCTTCAATTACAAGTCTTCTTATACTCTCTCTATCCAGTGAAACTCCAACTTTTCTAGCCATTTCTCCATTTAAACCTAAAAAGGCTGGTTGTGAGAAAAATGATAGAGGTACACTATTTTTCACCACCATTTCAACGATGTAACTTTTAAACAGCTGTGATGTTATTGTTATGGTAACTTTATCAGTAGTAAAGCAAGTTGATATTTGGGATTGTCTTTCAGAAGATTTCCCATCCATCATAGCTGAAGTTGATGGAGTGCTTACATTATGCTCTTCATCTTTCCTATTTACTTCTTCTAGCACCTTAGGATGATAGCATTGCAAGTGCCTTTTCACATTTGAAGCTCTCGTAGGAGCACTTTTTCCGGAACCAATGAAACTACTCATTTTTGATTCACATAATTTTTCACCATCATCATCATTTATGATACACTGATAATATTCTCCGTCTGCTGTGAGTGTAAAGTATTCAAAGATTGCCAACTTTATTAGAACTTTTTTGCCATTGTATTTTTGGAAAGGGATTTATGATCCAAACTTCAGTAACTTTTTAAATGTGTAATCATGTTGACAAAGGTTTGCTTATAATGTGCGTAAAGGAAATTATAAAAAAGTAAAATTATACCGTAGTTGAATAGATGCGCTGCTGCTGCTGCTGCTGTTGTTATTAAGTGTGCTCGGCTGGTTTTGTGGTTTTATAGACAGGGAAGAGAAGAAATGTGGGCATGTAGACTCTTGGTGGTCAGCTGGATTTTCGTTTGGTCCTGTGGCTTGTCACTTACTGCTAGATTTTAGCCAAAAATTTGGATTTAAATAATGTTAAAGAGGCTCCTGGAAGCTGAGCGGGAAAAGGTGGGAAATTGTCCTTCCAACTCATTTTGCGATTGGTGGAAAAATATTTTTGAATTTTGTTTCAACCCCAGAGCTGTTTATTTATTTGAATCTGTTGTTTTCTTTTCTTTTTCATTCCTGTTATTTTTGGTTGCAAAATTTCATAATGCTACAAACTGTTGTAAACTTTTTAATGCATGTCGGCAATATTTTTTTTATTTTAAAAACAGCTTTGAAAATAAAAAGCACATTTTGTTTTTTATTTATTTTTTGTTTCTTTTTTTGTTTGATTTTTATTTTATTTATTTTTTTTTGTACTATACAAATAAAAATATTAACAGTAGTAAAAATATGCAATATGCATACCGTTATTGATACGCATGTATTTTTCAACTCTTTATAGAACAAAAAAATATTTGAGTTAAAAATAAAATTTGCGTTGATATAATAATGCTAATTTTTATTAAAATTGCACCAAAAAGAAATGGTGAAGAAATTACTGAATGTCTTTTTGTGAATTAGTCTGTGATTTTTGTGTAAAATAATGTCCAGTTTGAACCCCAAATTTCAGAGTTTAAATATTCCTAACTTTTAAACCGTTTGGAATATTTGCATAAAAAGTTTTGAAATACATTTAGAGCTCTTTATAACAAATATGTTAAAATAGCAATAATCTAAAAAAAAAAAAAAAATCAACTGGGAATGCTAAGCATAATCTATGCTATAATGGAAAAAGAAGGAAAAAATAAAAACAGTTAACAAGAAATTAAAAAAAGATGTTGCAGCGAGAATGAGAGATAAATATTAAACAAAGAAACGGTGTTAGATGAATTTGTCCAATAAAGAAAAGTCCACGTTAACATGATAAATGGATTCCGTAAATGTGTTAAATTTTTATACATTTATCAAATCCATTGGAGTTAGTATAGTTTTACAGACTCCAACTCCAGGGATCCCTTATTTGCTTCCGACTCCAGGGACCCTTAGTTGCTTCTGACTCCACAGCCCTGATTATTACGTACCTATCTTATTTATGAAATTTTATGGTATTATTTTTTAATTATTTTTATATTATCTCAGTTGTGAAATTTTTTCGTAACCGAGATATAAAAATTAATAATAAATAAAAATAATACAATAAAATTTCATAAGAGTGTACATAAAAATTAGGTAGATCTCTTATGATATTTTATCTCACTCGCAGTTATGAAATTTAAAATTTATTTTATTGTTAGTATTTTAAGTTTTATTTTTCCAGAAATCATCTTCAAACATAAGGCTATAAAGCTAAAGTACCTAAATTGTTTTTTTAAATGAAAATATTAGATTGCTGAAAGTATAAGTTCACATAAAATTCAAAAAAATTATGTCACTTCTGTTCTTCCCCTGTCAATATTGATGTAATTGTCAGTTAACACCACAAAGACAGGTCACCATGGTTAAGACATGCTTTTGAATGGTATTCCACCAACACAAGAAAAACAAGAATTTTAACCAAAATTTCAAACGTTTTAAAAAGGTTGAAAAAATTTAATAAATAATCAAAAAATATAGCTTCGTCTTTCCTCTTAATATTAACAAACATTTAGACAATAAAAATTTTTCTTCATCCAGTTTGGGGACATTTTTCATCATGGTATGCTCTTTTTTGTCAAATTAGTGGAGATACCCAATTCTATCTAAACTGTAATAATGACCATGAACTCTTGGATGAAATTTCTAATTAAACATCTGGGGAAAGATTTCATGAAAAATTTCAAGTACCCAAATTTTTTGGAAATCTAAATTTTTTTTCAGAAATATACCAGCATAGCACAGAATATGGCCTTCTGTTACTTATTGTTCATATTGCAAAAACAAACATGATTTTTTGTTTTTTGTTTTTTGATTTTCTGATGACCAATAAAATTTCAAAGGGAAAAAACCCATGAATGGTTTCTAGCTAATAATATTACAGCTAGATATTTACTTTATAAACAAAAAGAAAAATTTGTATCAACTATCCTGACAGACACAAAATAAGAATCCATTTTAGCATTACAATGTAAATTGGATCTCTTTTTAAAAATTCTAAAAAGTTGCTGAATTTTCTAAAACATACTTCTGGGTCACATTAGTAATCTGAGAATATTTAGTGACCATAGCTTTAACTGTTATTTGATGGCAGGCATATGGACAAAAGAAAGACATTTGGTGAATTCCAGTAAAATAGTTCATCAAAGTTATTTACATAGGACAAGTATTTCCCTTGCTCTCAGATGATGATCAAAGAATCATTGTCAGCAGTACAAACCAGGAATAAGCCCCCAACAATCCCCTATCCCAGGCAACCTGTCATACAATTACTAATAAAGACAAAGCTTCATTAGCTGGTGAGTTTTCACTCATATGTGATTAAAAAAAAATGTAATGGAAATCAATCTTGATTATATTGTGGAAGTCATAACAGCATACATTTTCCCTTTAATTTTTTATCAAATTTTACATATTTTAGATTGACTTTAATGCTGAAGACAGAAGAAAACAACAGTGTGAGGATTTATTTTTTTAATGTTTAAGATAGTACAGTGAATGACAAAATGCAGACCAAGACCTAAGCAGTTAATGTGGGTTATGATGGGAAAAATGGGGGGGGGCTTGTAAACACCATTTGTCAAAAAAAAAAAAAATTGTTCTTTGAGAATAAGGTACTGCATCACCCTCCCATCCCTTCCACCATTTTACATAACAGGTTCATCTTGCACCAAGAGAACCACCAGTAAGTAAACAATTAGGGCAGCAGCTGGGATACCCTTTGCTTCACTGATAGCAGAATCTATTTGATGTTTATCTTACTACCCAAGTGGGGAAAAAAAATGCCTAACACATATGAACAAATTCATACCTCTTCACTGTATTGGTATATAAGCAATATGTTCTACTTGTCTACATCTAGCTTTAATACAAAATATACATAGTGTGTGTGAGAAAGAGTGCCACATAGATACCTTTCCCAAGACACATAAAAATATGCTGAACACACATTAATTTTAAGGTACATCCTGAAGCTTAAACACTAGATCTCTCTTCAGCACACTAATTCAACCAACTGTCTGTACATGTATTCAATTTCGGACAGACATTTTAAACAAGCACAAATCAATGGCTAAATAAACTTATCAGGGAAGCCTGCATTATAAACAGGGTTATGTCAAACATGAATGAAGGCCAACAGTCTATATATAATAATATAATATAAACCTGGGATCTGGAAAAAAAAAACTAAAAAACATAAGTTTAGTATCAATATTGACTGGATTATTTGAATTTCAAATATTCATTATTTTTTTTACGCAAAAGGACGAGAGAGAAAGAAACTGCGAGCAAAGTGACGAGGGAGAGAGAGAGAGAAACCGCAAAGTGATGAGAGAGAGAAAGAGAAATCGCGAGCAAAATGACGAGAGAGAGAAAGAGAAATCGCGAGCAAAATGACGAGAGAGAGAAAGAGAAACTGCGAGCAAAATGAAGAGAAACAGAGAGAAATCGCGAGCAAAGGGACGAGAGAGAGAGAAATCGCGTGCAAAGGGACGAGAGAGAGAGAAATCGCGTGCAAAGGGACGAGAGAGAGAGAAATCACGTGCAAAGGGACGAGAGAGAGAGAAAATCGCGTTGGGACGAAAAACATCACAAAAGGGACGAGAGAGAGAGAAAATCGCGTGCAAAGGGACGAGAGAGAGAGAGAAATCGCGAGCAAAGGGACGAGAGAGAGAGAGAAATCGCGAGCAAAGGGACGAGAGAGAGAGAGATATCGCGAAACAAAGGGGGACGAGAGAGAGAGATATCGCAAAAAAAAAAGGGACGAGAGAGAGAGATATCAGCGAGCAAAGAGACGAGAGAGAGAGAGAAATCGTGAGCAAAGTGACGAGAGAGAGAAACTGTGAGCAAAGTGACGAGAGGGAGAAACTGTGAGCAAAGTGACGAGAGGGAGAAACTGTGAGCAAAGTGACAAGAGAGAGAGAGAAATCGTGAGCAAAGTGACAAGAGAGAGAAATCGTGAGCAAAGTGACAAGAGAGAGAAATCGTGAGCAAAGTGACGAGAGAGAGAAATCGTGAGCAAAGTGACGAGAGAGAGAAATCGTGAGAAAAGTGACGAGAGAGAGAAATCGTGAGCAAAGTGACGAGAGAGAGAAATCGTGAGCAAAGTGACAAGAGAGAAATCGTGAGCAAAGTGTCGAGAGAGAGAAATCGTGAGCAAAGTGTCAAGAGAGAGAAATCGTGAGCAAAGTGTCGAGAGAGAGAAATCGTGAGCAAAATGACGAGAGAGAGAAATCATGAGCAAAATGACGAGAGAGAGAAATCATGAGCAAAGGGATGAGAGAGAGAGAGAAGAAATCGTGAGAAAAGGGACGAGAGAGAGAGAAGAAATCGTGAGAAAAGGGACAGAGAGAGAAGAAATCGTGAGCAAAGGGACGAGAGAGAGAGGAGAAATCGTGAGCAAAGGGACGAGAGAGAGAGAAGAAATCGTGAGCAAAGGGACGAGAGAGAGAAATTGTGAGCAAAGGGATGAGAGAGAGAGAGAGAGAGAGAGAGAGAGAGAAATTGTTAGCATATTCAGAAATGATGAGAAAGGAAGAAACTGATAATATCAGTTTCTTTTAATACTACTCACGCAGACACTAGCAATAAATAGATGCCTATAACTGATACCCTCATAACAGGATTTCTAAAATTGAAAATTTGAAAAAAAACAAAAACAATTGGAAATAGACATATGGGTACACACACACACACACACACACACACACACACTGAATAAATGGATGATGAAAACCAACCCTAAAAGAAACAAATAATGGAGGCTAGAGTAAATAATCAGATATCCAGCAGTAATAAAATTGAGAAAACTTAATAGCTATTGTTTCAAATGAGTTTTATTGACAGCACCTGGTATCCAAACATGATTACACATCTGTAATTGGCTGTACACAATATTGCTTAACTCTGGTGACAAGTTTTTCATTATTATCCAAATGCAAGCTTTTATTTACAACATTTAGTATACTGAAAAATTATCAGTTCTATTGCGTTAATATGTACATTTTGCACATATGTTACATTAAAACTATACAAGTTATACAAACATGATTGTTTTTTTCCCTTTTCTTCAGGCATAGCCCAGTTTGCAAATTGGTGTGCATGAAAAAGATATATTTCACTCATGCTTTGGGAACCATGTGAATGTCTAGCCAAATTCATCTACACTGACATTACCAGTCTTTGATCTATGGACTTTTTTGCTCTCATTTAACAAGGGTTTATATACAGTATAGCAAGGGGAGCTTAACTAGCATAACATTTATATGAGCCATACAGTGTCAATATTTTATTTAATGACCAAAAAATATCTCAGCATATATACAGATACATATTAACATATATGTATAAATGACATTTTACTTACATATGAAAGATGTATTTTTTGTTCACAAACTGTCTTTATAAATAATATTTATAACATGCATATGCCTGTGTATATATTAGTGTCATCAGAAAATAACTACATTTTACCAGAAAGGATATAAAAATCTAAGTAAAATTTATTTAAATATTCATCAAAAATGGAATCACCTCCATCATCAACAAGTTCAGCCCATTGTAAAGACAAATTTTCAATTCTATATTTAAAGAAATCTGTTTTTCACCAAAATAATATATAAAAGACTGTTTTCAACTTTGAATATTCTGCCAATTATGAAATGTCCTAGTGATAAAACTAATGAAAATCTGTAGATGTTATGTCTGATGAGTATGGAAGATGTATAAGAACCTCCCATTCTAATAAGCTATTTTTTTCTTGGGTTTGTTTTTTAGAGTATTCCCTTGCATTGTCACATTGGAGAATAACACCTTTTCTGTTTATCAAAGCAGGAAACTTTATATAATACTTTATTTATTCAATGAAATTGCTGACAATAAGCATGTGCAATGATGGTCCTTCCCTTTTCCTATAACTCATAATGGGTGACACCTTTCATATTTGACCTGATCTAAAGCAAGGACTTCTGTATATGGAGTCTTGACTTTTGTGTTGGCAGTCATTTGTCATTTTGAAATAACCACTTTTTTGTTCTTTTTCCTCATGCAAAACTTATTTTTCATATGTAACAAGGAAAATCAAAAATTAATGTTTGGAATTCCTGGTTAAAGGACTGCAGCAGATAGTGAAATTTTGTGTTCAGTTCTCAAGCAAAAGCTCATGAGAATTCCAAATTCCCTAAAATACACTAAAAACGAGACACTGTTGGAAAAGAGATGATAAACTAATTCTAGATGCAGTTACCTACCATTCAACACATGTTACAGAGCAGTGAAATACATAATTACATTCTGAACACCCTAATATGTTATGTGCATGTATCTGAACATAATATGAAAAAGTGCTGAAAAGTTTTCAAACTGAACCACTTCCCAAAATCTTATCAAATATCAGGCTTTTATATTTTTAATCCATTCTTGGTCAAACCAAGAACTTTTCAGCAGTGTGTGTGTATACATACAAATCTAAAACATACATTTCACTCCATTATGTCCATATGTATACATAATAGAGCTAAGTACACACCAACAAATAGATGAATGGGGAGATAAAAGGTAAGCACTTCCCCAAATTTAAAGAATTAATTTATTCAAGAGACCTTTGTGTTGACTGTACAGAACATACAAAATAGTTTCTGGTTACAATTCACATTTCAAAAGGAACCACATTGTAGACCTGAATTACATTCAGGAGGCATTTATTTTGGTTAACACTTAAATGTCAACAAGTTTCAGGAATAAGTAATTTGGAGGCAAGCCTTGTATTTATAAAAAATAAAAAAATTACCAAGCTGTGAAACAAGAGAAAACACCCCAGTAATTTGCTTACACTAACTTGGGTAACTTGTTTGTATTAGGGGTGGATCTCATAACACATCTAATAGTGACATTAAATTCTGAACTTGAAATGTTTATATGAATATAGTTAGCAACTTTTCAGATTTGGAATAAGAGCTTAGTTCTTCAAATTTTACAATTAATCAACCACCTAGTGGATCAAAGCATTGGTTTGTAAATTTGGTGGTATAGTAACTGTGAGTTCAATCCATGGCCTTGGTAATACAGTCTCAGTGAAAACCATGTTGGTAATAACAGACCACTATTAAAAAAAAGACAAGATATCTTTAGACATGGACAACAGAACAAGGACAATCTACTCTGAAGTTTACCTGAAGAAACTTGGAAATGTTATGAAAATAAAAATGGATATTAGTCTAATTAAATAATTACAATTAATCAGTTTGCTCATTTTCTCACATATGTCATGACAACATCATTATTCAAATCAAAGTGCATAAAGTTCTTTAAAAAAAATAAAAATAAATAAATTGAAATGCTTGAAACAAAATTGAGGAAGGGGTAACAATTTCACATGCTTCTTGCACATATGATCAGATAAAATATTTGTTATATTAACATGGCTATATCAGTCAAGGGTAATTCAAAGATCACCTTGGTCTATAGTTATTAGCTAATCTGAAATTTTCAATATATAATGTTTGAGATATATGATTAATATTCACTGGTGACTCAAGTACATTGACAAGGAAAACAATTATGTTGAAAAATATTATGTAAAATACTTTTTCTTTTTTTTATTAAAGATTTATTGATGTATATTTGTAAACGATCTAAAGAGTTAAATGTTCTAAAATATCTGACTTACAAAGTCTCTTTACAATTTCAAAAATATATTAAAAAGACAATTGATGAGATATCTTAATCAGATTTGTTTTATGTAGTCAGTAGTTAACAAAAGTTTTTAATCATATTGCATTTGTGCATTTCAGGTATGATGATGAAAGAGGTACTGTTAAATGAACCCCTAACATTTCCAGACTGGTGGATTGGAAGGGATGGCTCAATTCCCTGGCCACCTCATTCACCAAATATCAATCCCCTGGACTTCTTTCTATGTGGTTATATTAAAGATATTGCATATCGAACAAAGATACAGAACATCACTGATCTAAAGTAAAAGATCACTGATGCCACTGCCACCGTTGATGAGGCTACAGTGAACATGGCAAGAAATCAAGTACCATCTTGATGTGTTTGATGCAACTTATGGTGCCCATATAGAGGTGTATTAAATTGGTTAAAAAAAAAAAAAAAAATCGATATCTACTCCTCATTTTGTAATAATTTCCATATATTTGTCTGTTCATTTGCTTTTATAATAATTTTTTTAAATTGTAAAGAGACTTTATGGACACTGTATAACTGGCTTTATGACTTTCTAGATAATCAAGCTATCAACAAAACTAGAAATTCTTTGCTTTATTTACAGTTTTGGATACAAAATCAACTGAAATCAATTCTGGAACACATAGCATTGCCATTTGCAAACTTTTGAACAATTTCCACAATGTTCTATCTACAAAATATCTTCAGGTTACATTTGTGGAATAAGGTGCCACTTGCTGAAATTTGGAACCATTCAAAATCAATGACCAGTGAAATTATACTTGTCAACTGACAGCTACATTAGGTTGATTACATCATCTACATGTCTGAGAACTGATTTCTATGACATGCTTTCTTTGTTGATCTGTATTATCTTCCCTAGACAATTAGAAAAGCCACTTGGCAAGGTGTTTCATTAATGACATTCTGTATTTTTTTCATTCAAATCTGTGACTGCTCATGCTAAGCCCAAAAAATTTAAAAAAAAAAACATGATAAAAAATTCACTATTTTTATTCATAATGTTTAACGCGTTAAAATTATTCAACTTTTTAAGAAAAATATCAAGTTGAAGTTAAAACTTACCACAAAACATTGTTTTATGGTATGTCTAATTTGTATTTAGATACATTGTATTTATTTAAAATTTTTCTAGCCGAATTGTTCACCTATATTGCATATAATCCATTATTGTAAATAATTAGGTTACATTAGACTTTATATTTTATATGAATATCACCTTATAAAAATTGAGATGTAGTAGATTGTAGGGGGAGCGCAAGAACCTTGCATGGGCCCTGCAACTATTGATTTATAAATGATAAAATTCAATATTCCCACCCCAACTTTTTGAATTAATGCAATACAAACCAAGTAAATCAAATTTTAAATAGTGGGTAGTAATAATATTGGTTTCAATATGGTTAGAGCTAGAATAAAATATATAAGCCAGTCTACTAAAGATATGTAAATTTTGTATTTTTGTGTCTAAAATTTTAAAATTGTCTTTAATTTATTGATTCAAATATAAAACAATGACATTACTTGGTGAATAATTATCTAAATCATTCAGAAAGCAAGAGAAAGTGCTCATTTGGCCCAACCAAGAAAAAAAAAATGTAGTCTTAATCAGATTTTAAAAAAAATGTTCTTTATGCAAATTTAGATTACAAATTCCGCCAGGTACAACACTACATTTACAACCTGCAAAATGTAAACAACCATGAAATGATTTAGTTTATCAAAATGCATAAAAACAGCAACTTTGTATTATGTGATAATAATAAAAGGGAGATAATAACTTGCCTACTACCAAAGTGCTTTGCA